AGAATAGAAATGAATAGAATAGAAAAGAAAATAGAAAAGAAAATAGAATAGAATAGAATACACTAGATTATTGGAATGAAGAATAATAATAGAATGGAATAGAATGGAAATGAACAGTACAATAGTGTGGAATGGAATAGAATAGAAATGAATAGAATAGAAAAGAAAATAGAAAAGAAAATAGAATAGAATTCAGAAATAGAATAGAATACAGAATAGAATAGAATGGAATGGAATAGAAAAGAGAATAGAATAATAGAAATAATAGAATAGAATGGAGAATAAATAGAATAAGAAATAGAATAAAATAGTATAAGAAATAGAAATAGAAACAATAGAATAGAATAAGAAATAGAAATAATAGAATAGAATAAGAAATAGAAATAGTAATAGAATAGAAATAATAATAATGGAATAGGATAATGACTTTGTCACTTTGAATGTACCCTAATTGGTGTACAGTAAAGTGAAATTTCGTTGCATACGGCTGTCGAAGGGTCACCACCGCCAATCTACACTACAGAATATAATGGAACAAATAAATAAATACAGATAAACTGCCAGTTCTACCGAAGGTTGGCTTCTCTATTACAGGAGCCCTTGGAGATAAGAAATAAGCCTCTGGAACAGAATGCCTCTGCTTTCCAGCTGATGCTTTGGAAATATGACCAAGAAAAAAAAGCAACAACGCACGCAAGTTAAAAAATTTTTTTTAGCTAAGGGCGAGGGAGTTTTTGCAAATCCAGCTGAAAAGGAAATTGCAATTTCCCATTGCTTGGAAAACACTACGAAGCCAGTCATGTTCCGGATGTCCATGGATCTGAATTTTGATCACGTGACCGCGGGGAAGGCAGCAAAGGTCATAACTGTGAAAAAAATGGTCATGTCCCCTTTTTTTCAGTGCCGCTGTAACTTTGAACGGTCACTAAACGAAGTGCCGTAAGTCGACGAGTACCTCTATTCTATCTTAACTTGCTCAGGTGTGTTGCCTAAATACTATTAAATCATTGATTTTTTTTTTTAATTTAAAGTTTATAACTGTTCCCTTCCAGATAGATAGGATGCATGTACGTATAAAGTCATTTGGGAGGGTTCTTTTAAAAGAAATTTATCAACAGGGTTTTTTTTTCTATAATGCAGGATTGGACAATAAATAAGTTGCTCTTTCCATGTATTTAGAATACCAGCTCGATCCCCGTGCTTCACTACGAAACTATGTGGTCGGGCTTAGTTTTGGGGGGAGGAAAATAAGGGAGGAAAAATTCTTCCTCTGCCTACTAGCATCCACTGGTATTCATCTGGCTAGCGTCCTGTCAGTGTGTGAGAGAGTAAAGGGCTGTTTGGAAACCGAAGCAGTATTTGCTGTGTGAGCAAGAAGGAGACAGCAAGGAGCCTGGGCGTGGCTTAGCTCAACTAAAGCTGCTTGGTGCTGCT